GGGGGGGCAACCGATTAGTAGCATTCGTCACATACAAAAAGTACTCATAACCGAGTAGCAGGATTGACTGTCATTTTTATAACGTGCCCACAGCTGAAAGTGCAGGGTTTTATCAATGGCAAATCTCGACTCGAACCTTTGACTATCATGATCAGGAACCTGGTGTTCTAGCTCCTAGGCCACGACCGGAGGAACTACAATATTTACTAGTTTTTGCTACTACTCTGGTCCGTATACAAACTAAGTTATTGCTTAAGGCTATTATTCAACACCACCTAATTTACAGTGGTCCTACTCATTAATAGCGGTCTTTGTAAATTCGATTAGTGATCCCATTTCTTCATCTTCACTTCAAAAGTCCTGAAAGTAAACAGAGGCAAACTTGGCTGAATTGTGGGGACACTTGGAACAATATTTCACGATGGTACATTGATAGCCTTATGGCAGCATGAATAACAAGGCGTCTTGCTTTGTGTAAAGCAAGAGGCTCACATACATAATACTAGTGCATTGTTCAACTTCTCTTATCTTTTGTACTTGCTGTGATAATGTTTTGTACCATTAATAAGGTCACTAATTGGTAGTTATTATTCACTGCTCGTGATATGTGTATGTGTATCTCTTGTGTCGTTCCATAATTAGTCCCATTATTGAACACTCCTTTTCTTTTTTTGATTACAAACTACATTTTGTACGTAATAATCGCTATGAATTATCTCCAAGACATTATTTTAGCCCCAGTGGCACAGCGGTATGTCTGCGGACTTATAACGCTAGAAACCGGGTTTCGATACACGTGGTGGGCAGAGCACAGATAGCCCTTTGTGTAGCTTTGTGCTTAACTACAAACAAACACTATTTAGTTAGTGTTGTGGTAAAAGTTCCTTACGTTAGGCGCCCTCTACGATAGCTCAATTGTAAACTTGAGAGCTTATAATGCTAAATTAGGGGTTTGATTCCTGCGATGAGCATAGCTTAGATAGCCCATTCTGCAGCTTTGCGTTTAAACACATCAAATAAGCCTTAGCTTAGGTACATCTATTAATTGTAAGCGTTTCGGGAATTAACTATAAAAACTATTCTCGTCACAAAAACCAGCTACAGCAATGGCCAAAAGAAAACAAAACGGAAATTGGGATATAAAATATCCTCATACTAACATGAAGAAGTTTAAAAATACTTTTCTAGCTATTTAATGGTGTCCATTGTCAAAAATATATATAAAAAAACTGTTGTCGTAATCACCGATTTTAAATTGTTGAACTCCATCAGCACGAAGTGCTGTTAAAATAGTTTCTAAAACATTTTAATTCGCAAATATACGGACAGGCATACTAACTTGCAAGACCACCTGTGCCTTTTCACCGAGTGCACGTGGTGTTTCCTAAGACATCTGGCACCCCTCGACCCTCATGACCTCGTCCCACGCTACAGACTGCTCGTGCACCATAAAGGAACCTAAGCTGAATGCTCCCTTCATAAAAAAAGTACATTTGATTATGTTTAAATAGAAAAAAATTTGTTGCTTTGGTACTACAGTTGTTCCCCATTATCTGCGTGCTGTATGAAAGAAGTGGAGAATCCAAGATATTCAGTTGAAAAATTCAGAAACAAGAACTCCAAGTAAGATAAAACTAGATCGATTGGTCCGCGCTAGCATCCCCCACCCCCTTCTACAGTGAAGGAGAAAACAAAAAGTACACCATCTCCTTTCTCCCCCGGGTCAGCTTACGGAAACAGGTCGCTGAAACTTCGTGATGGCCCTAGGGTTGTGAAGTCACGTGTTCATGTAATGAAAGCCCCCCGGTTCTTGAGTGAAATGTCAAAGGTTTCATGATATCTATTTAATGGGTTAAATCGACCAAATGGAAAGTGAAGTTCCACATTATCCTCGTCCTCTGACCTGTGCTAGATCGTGAAGCTACCTGAACTTCAACGAGTTCATTTAAATGCATCAGAGCTTCTATAATTTTCATATACATGTAATATAATTAATTCCACGTGAAAACTACATTTGTTCTAAAACTTTCTGTGGCGTTCATATTTAATTAGGGAAAAGTTAGGTTAACAGTCAAAATCAAACGGTGTATACAATTCCGTTCATTTTCTCATTACCTAATTGCACCGTCTACACTTGAACATTAATTTAGAATAATACTTTGTCCACACATGTAACTGAAATTACATGCATCTTTCAACCATTCATAATAATCATTTACTAAATGTTTCAATAAAAAAATAGAAGAAAACATTTTTCTCAAATTCTAAGTACGACCACAATGAATTGTGTAGGAACGTTTCTGAAAGTATAGCTTCATGTTACTAGTAGCCCTGCCACTGTATAGCTTCACGTTACTAATAGTCCTGCCACTGTATAGCGTGGCGTTAAAAGTATTAGGTCGTCAAGAAGTTAATGTCGCGTTTTGGGACACTTTCATTAAACATCCCCCGAAAAACGTACTTCACGTATAATAGTTAAACGAATCATCCAAACGTCACGTTAGTGTAGCCTATATAACGTGTAAAGTTTAGTATACTCTAATCCCTTATAGTGATGGCACATGACGAGACACACATTCGGCATGTAATGCTGTTTGAATGCAAGTGAAACAACGCCTCTCTAGCCTAAAAGAATATCAAAGAAGTTTATGGAAATGTTTTGAACGTTCGTAAGTGTCAACGATGGTTTAGCAAATTTCTTTCAGGTGACTTTAGCCTTAAAATCTGTAATGGCAGGGTCCGACATGTTGGAATTGATATTGATGCTTTGAAGACGCTTGTTGAGTCAAACACGTTCGTGAACTGGCCCTGAAATTGTATGTCTCTCATGAAACAATACATAAACACCTAAGGAACATGGGAAAACTCCATAAAGAAGGTGTTTGAGTGGCTCACGAACTCTCCGATGAACATCGTTTCCAACGTATGAACGTTGCTTCGTCTCTTCTGGCGCGTAATGCACGTGTATGAAAAATGGATTCTCTATGCGAATACTAAACGCCAAAAACAATGTCTCAGTTCTAGACAAATACCACTTCCGACCCCAAAACCTGGACTCCATCCGCAGAAGTGATGCTTTGCATTTGGTGGAACATCAAAAGAGTAATTCATTTCGAACTCCTCGATCCACAGCGAACTGTCAATGCAGAAATCTATAGTCAGCAACTGGAATGTTTAAATCAAGCCCTTCATCAGAAACGCCCTTCACTCGTCAATCGGAAATGTGTTCTTCTCCGCGACAATGCACATCCACATGTGGCACGTTTGACACAACACAAGATTATGGAGTTGGGTTGGGTAGTTATATCCCACTCACCATATTCTCCAGATACGGCAACATCAGATTACCATCATTTTCGTTCGCTGCAACACCGTCTTAAAGGGAAAATGTATGCAAATAGAAAATGTGATAAAGATAACATCGACATGTTTTTGCTTCAAAGCCAAGTGATTTCTTTAATCAGGGCATTAACAACCTGATTGTAAGATGGAAAAGCATCATCGATAAGAATGGAAACTATTTCATTTAATAAATTTTTGTTTTGATATACAAGTTGTTCGGGTTTTTTTATCTAAAAAAAGCAACATTAATTTCTTGACGACTTAATATTATATCATTTCGTTTGCAGAACATACTCCATATTGATAAACGTAGTGATGTGTTTAAGAAACACACCTTAAGTATCTGACATAAACAATGATCAGCTTTGTCACTTCAAACAATCCAACGTAGAAATTTATGTTGTATTTCGGTTTCAGAAAGCCTCGATCAAAACTGTAGATATATTTTCTTAGCTAAATGCATGAAGATAATTAATTTTGATTCAGGTGAAGCACCTTAACAGATTTTTAATACAAGACGATTTATCCACATATTCAAAGTCAACTGCTTGTCTGTAAAAGTATAAGCAACTATCAAACATACTTTTGGTGTGAACGTGCTTTGTAGTCACTATGAGAAAAACCTATACACTAGATAGGTGAAGTGAAGAAAAAGTGTCATTGGCCACAATTCAGTTCTTCCCATTATATAGCGCGTCCATACCAACTGTATATTTGATATTTTTCAATATGATATAGGTCTATCTTATCTCTTTCGAGATATGCCCGATAATCAAACTTGCAAGTATTTCCAAACAATGTCAAAATGTAGTTATGTTACATTCCGTTCTATTGCGACTTTATACTGGGTGTGGTTTTCTCGCTGGTTTGCATACTCAATCCTTTGTACACTTCTAACAAAATTATTAAGCAATGCTTAAAAGCTTCATATATAGCCTTGAAACATTGCTTTAAGCTATCAGGTTAATGGGAGTTCGCAGTAGTTCGTGCAACGTTAAACAAACAAACAAAAAGGAATCCTGAGAACACTGATCTTATACGGCTACAAACGTATCTTATAATGATTGTTAAGAAATATCAGAAAAATTGTCTGGTAGAAATAACGGAAGGCTATGTTATCAGTAGATTGTAAATTGTTAATGTATTGTTTAAAGTTAATATACGAAAGAAGATATTTTGGACTTAAAATTTCATACAGGATACCCTTAACGGTATTGACTGTCAATTTTATAATGCTGAAAGTTCAGACTGTGTTTATCAGCGTATTGCGGGATAAAACCCTTGAACCTTCCAATCCTCACTCCGACATGTTAACTACTAAGACACACCCAACTTCCCCAAACAAAATAATGTTCAAAAACGAACTAATGACGTGTAATGAAAAAATAATAATTGTGAATTTGGATATAAATGGAATATTTCTACATATGAATTTAAGCCTGAAATAAAAATCTTCTTAAAAGTCGTAGTTTGTAACAAAATGATTTATATACTTTTAATGATAAAGTGTTTTCATTTGTTTTGTGAATTATTATTGTTAATATTAAAATAGAATAAATGTCTTCGAGTTTATATTTTTTAAGTTTTACTTAAATTTATATATATTTTTTATAGTTGAAGTTTTATCATTGTTTCTACTAAACGATACAAGTACTCACCTCATCTTTAGGTATAAGCTCCATTTTCGTATTGTCTCCTCTTTTAACTGGTTGTTTTTGATCAAAACCTTTGTACCAGAGAATTCTTGGCTCAGGAAACGCAGATACTTCACATTTCAATGTTACAATAGAACCTGGAGCTGTCTGGATGTTTGGTGTCAGTGCTCGAATATAGGGTCGAACTTCAAAAGAGATAAAACAAAGTAAATGCTATTTTAGTGTATTTTTAGAATATTCAAATTACTCTAGTATCGTTTAGTGTGGCATTAAAACGTTGATTTTGTTTTTGTTATTCAGAAAAGAAATAGCAGATAACTGTTTTCAAAAAAAACAACACTAAAGTTACTTTGTTTCCTTGTAATAATTATAAGTTGCTGAATAATTTGTACTCTTAGTGCGAAGATAAATAATTCGTAGTTATGAAATAATATAATATTCATGTATTAGTTGAAAACTGAAACAAGAAACACAAACTAGTATAAACATACAATTTACTGAGATTCGCCGAGTGCTTTGAGCTCCGTGACCGTACCCATTGTCAGCGTAGCAGCCAACACTAGTGACGTTATGATGAATATAAGAAATAGTACATGAAAGGTGTCGATTTTTCTCCTCAATGCACATTTTCCCATTAACATATATTGAAACTCTCGGTAGAGGCATGCCAATTCCAACGCAGAGAATACTTATATTAGAGCCTTCCATTATTTCACCAGCTGGAATGATAACAGGAGGATGTACAAAAGCTGCAATGGCTGGATTTGTCCAAAAAAGCACCACTTCTGATAACTGACTATGCATCTCTTCTGTGTGTGCCTGGATAGCAACAGCATACTGTGTGTTGAAACTCAAGTTATCCATAGTTTCTGTGTTGTAGACTGTTGAGATGGTGGTGTCACTATCGATCAGTGATTCTGTTTGGTTAGCAGGCTGGTAGTAAACAGTGTAAGACAGAGAAGCCTCAAGAGGAACGTATTCCGGTGGCGACCATGTTATCAACATATTATTCATCTCCCCCTTACTAACAACGACAGAATGGGGAGGACTTAGGTTTGCTGAAATACAAACGAAAGTTCATGATAAAGATAGCAAAAACATATTTAATAGCTTATATGTATATAAAGAGACAAAATATTGGTATGGGTGGAAACATTAAAAAAATTATAAATGTTTGCAAAATATTACAATGCAAAAATAAAGTTGTTACTTTTTAGTAAGTTATCGAACGTATTTCAGAGCTTTATCAATGACTGCTTCGAAAACATGCAATTTATTTATTTAATCCTTTTGTAAAAAATAAAGTTATATAGAGTTATCTGTCATAGAAATATAATGATAATGTACGAAGGCAGAGCAATATGCACACCAAAGCAAGAAATGAACCCACTCACTTTTATGTAATCAATAAGTTAAAGTTAAGCTATCAAATTACTATTTTATAAATAAATTAAATAACATGAAGCAATGAAATTTATTAGGTCAAGTGTAATTTATTGCACTAAATCATAGTTTCAAATCTAATTCAGTGTGTTTTATATAGGCTTAAATAAAACTTTCAAACTTCAGAAAGAAATAATGAAAAACCTAAAATAACTTTGATAATAAAAACCAATAGAACAATAAATAGAGACAAAAAAGCAGTATATTTCAAAATTACAAAACTCAATACTGTATGAAAATTGAATTATGCATTTAATTCCTACACTCATACACATGATACCATGTAGTTTATTAACACAACGGTAACATTGCCATGAGAAACCTGGTTTAGACAATTATTGTGGTCAGTAGAACAATTTCATACTAGCTATTAAAAGCAGCTAGAATTCAGATGTAGATTAAGGGATTAGAAGTTTTAATATGGCTAACTGGAGTCATAATAAACGTGATATTTATCTGTCCATAGCTAGATTGTAAAAAGGAAGCACTTTAATCAAATATTTTGCTCAGCATATGTTAAGGGAATAATGTTTTACCATTTCGATTTAAACTTAATTTTCACCACCAGAAAGTAAATGTTAAGTTTTGCAATTCCCATACTAGTAATAAATTTTACAACTGTTCTTTATTCCGACGAACCTTTGTAAAGAATGGGATTTGAAATCGGAGAATGTGTTGCATTTCCCCACGCAACTGTGTTTAAAGCCTCTATCATGTGTTGCATTTCCCCACGCAACTGTGTTTAAAGTCTCTATCATCTCAAGCATGCACAGAAGTTTAACAGACTAATAAACTCATGACTGAACCGTGTAGTGAAACCCGTGGTAACAATCTGGTCAAAATATTTTACATGTTCAAAAACAACAAAGTTAGTACAAGATGAAGATGTGGTATCAAAACAGACTCAAGTTATATGAAAGGGAAAACCCTATAATTATGTTATATAAAAGTGAACAAGTTAAACAGGAAAGAATTGGAGAAAAATTTGCCCCGATTTGATATTCCAGTTCTAGTTGCAATCAACGTATCAATCAATGTGTTGTACTTCATATTGTTCAATCTGCCTACGCGTCTCCCGTTCTTATAGAATTTACATGTATATGTAGCCTAAACGTTCTTTAATTTACTGACTAGTCATGTCTGACGAATGGTACACACCAGAAACACAGAGAGAAACTTTAAATAAACTAAATATTGGATCTGACATGTGTTTTTCATTAGTTTCAACACATTTCCAAGTCTTGCATAACAAGCTTTAGATAAAATGTAGGAAAAACTAGTTTGTTGCCTATGGATATATCTTTGCCTATATTAACAAATAAACTAAGAAAGAAAAAAAACAACACACACACACACACATGTATAACATAACATAAACTCCGGACATCATGGAACCACTTGGTCTTTCAAGGCTGTCCTCGCACACCCACTTTTGGAAAATTTAAATCTGTAAACCTACCATTTACTTTTCAGGAAATTATCGACTCCTCTCTTAAACTCCGGCAAAGTGCTGTCTTCCACTATTTCCGACAGCAACCCATTCCACAATTAGTGAGGAAATATTTATTTTAAAATAACTGAACCAAACATCTGGTGGCATAGTCTAGGAGGAGTAAGTCGGGTTTTCAGCCTTTTTCAACACCCTTAAGGAAAAAGGTTGATTTGATTTTATGAAAAAGATGGCTCCCCTAAACATTTTAAGGTATGTTATAAACCCAAATTGATGCAACAGTTTTTGTATGGGAGCTATTGAATCATAGAACTCAGATAAACCGCAAAAATTGTGACAGATTTTCATTCTGTTATGTAAGAGTAGTTTCCTTCAATTATATCTAGTAAAGCTGTGCAGCACAGCATTATTTGCACAGAAACATCAACATGCTTTCAATATTCATAAACGTTATTAAGCCTTGTAAATTTGTACACGGATGTAATTAAACAGTTATTGGAAGATACAAAAAGTTGTTGGGAACAAAACATTCTATACATTAACAGAAAAGTAAATAAGTCCACATGCAGATGAGATACGTGTTTTACAATGAGCTTATTTTTGTAGATTTTAGAATTGAAACAGTGAAAATAAAATACATTTAGACACATAGTTAATCGATTACTAATAAAATAATATTGTGCCTATTGTATTTTTAACACTACAATCTTGTTTCGCCTCTTAGAGATTTTCCGTGGAGAAGGATGTAAAAATTGTAATAGCATTTCAACCACACATATTCATCATATTCATTTCAGACGACAGAGCTCATCAGTTTTTTCCACAACACTTATCTTAAGCGAATACCCTTCAGTGGGTCAGCTGTAAGCTTATAGACTTATAGCACTAAAATCCACGGTTAGATTACTCACGACAGACAGATCGCAGGCAGCCTATTGTGTAACTTTGCAAAAACATACAACAACAACAACCTTAAGAGAATGCTTATCTACATATACTGCAACTTTACGTTTTCTGCTCTAAAATGTTTATGAAGATCTATGCAGAAATAATTTCTGAAAAATGATGTTTCTTCCTGTTTTCTATTTTGTTTGCAAGTTTCTGGAAGTGTTAATTTTACCATCTGGTGAAGTAAGAATACTCCATCACTATTGTATAATAATCATTACTTCTGTACTTGCGATTATTGTTATTTAGAGTAATCCAACTGTTCTATTTATGTCCAAAATATAATTGTTATTTACCCCTAGAATGTAACAATATTTGTACAAGTTCCAACTGATAGAGTTAATATCCTCAGCTGTATGAATATTTGTATAAATTATCCTTATGTAAGCTAGACTTAACTGTTAATTACAGTGTATTTATGAACATTCATCATCAATACACTGACTGGATGCAAAGCAAAACATATTTATATTCAAAGTGTTCCTTTATTATAAAATAAAAACAAAACGTATACATAAGTTGAAATTATTCATTTATCTTAAAAACTAAACAAGGGTAACAATTAATAGACCATTAGAAAGGACGACTTCTTCACTTTATATTTGTACCGATAATGACACTCAAGAGTGAAAGATAAGAAATGCTGATCATTTTTCCAAATATGTATATTGCATTTTTGCGTAGTAAGGAATTATTATAAAACCTTTAAAGACTATGTTAATGGACTAAATCTGTCTAGGAAGTTTTTGACGGCGTTCCAGCTGCTAGAGCAGATCTTTATACGCACACTGATGAAGCTTTGCGCTAGCAGCTCATTCGTCATCCAAAACTTCCTAAACAGATTTACGCTTATCAAGTATACTTTCCTCTGTCCAAACCTTCTCTCAAGTAAGAATTACAAAACTTGTCCCAAATTAAAATGTCGGTTACAGTCTTGTCCTTACATGTTCTTATGTATATCAAATACATAAAAGGAATTATTTTAGTTTTAAATGTCATATTCTTCCACATGTAAGTAGTTTGAAATATTTTACATTACACATTTAAATTTGTACGGCATTGCTTAGCTTTGAATGCCATATTTTTCTCCATTTCCGTGAAACCATTTGGGTACACATACCTCTAATTGCTTGTTTTTTAATTCTAATACTATCCTTTCAAACGGCTACTACTTCAATAACTTATTCATTTATTTCAACACTATCCTATTATACGTTTTCAACTTCAATCACTGATTCGTTAAATCTTATAATATGAATAATATCATTTACAAATAGCAAATGGGTGTGCCTGGCGTATTGTACTCACCACCTCCTCCTTTACTATAAAAGGGCAGAAAGACACGGTTTGAGAGAATTATCATCCTTCAGTTATCGATTTGTGATTAGCGTAAAGAGGGAAATTTTTATTTCTATGGATGTAACTAGGTGTTTATTGATTATAATTAATTGTATAATGGAGTACTTTGGATCATAAAGAGGCACCTTTTTATTATACACTCTGTAACTTCAATGTAATAATACTGATTTACTTTCAGAGACAAAGTAATTCTATGAAACAGCTATTTTTTATGGTTATTGAATCTTCAAGTTTCTTTTTTTTTAACAAGCTTGTTACAAATTAAATCTTGAGAAGTTTTGACAACAGGCTGTTGTAATTCCAATCTTTAGAAATACTAGTATTGTACTTGTTGTAATTCCAGTCTTTAGGAAAACTATTATTGTACATATTTATAGTTCTAGTCGTAAGAAGTTTGTTGACTCTAGGGTGAAAAATCTGATATTTTTATGTATTGTTTCATTTTTTTTTAAAGACAACAAAAATGTTTGATTCTGAGTTACAGTTTTGGCCTTCATAACTTTAGTGACTTACCTTTTACAAGGTCAGTCTTGTTCCCTAGGAGAGATGTCCTAACCACAGCAACAAGTGAAGGAAGAGAGAATCCATAATTGTTATATGATAAGACATAGAAACTATAATATGCCCCTGACTGTAGATCAGCAATGACTGTTGTTGTCTTAGTAGTGTTGACAAACTACAGAAACACAAAATAAAATGCAAGGTATGCCATAAAAAACATATGGGTTTCAATAAGGACATATTATTTAATTTTTGTAGTGCATATTGGAGCATAAAAGGCATTTTAATACTATTAGTTAACGACCTCATAACACCAAATTTGTTATATTTTTCTTTAATTGGATCCTCAACGTTTTGCTATAGAGCTTCTTCAGGAACATTCCACTTAAACATTTTATTGAAATGTACACGAAGAAGCTCTAAAGCCAAACGTTGAGGATCCAATTCTAAGCTTGTCTACTAATACCAGTTAGTAGCCAGTAATTTTTCCTTTAACTTTGAAATTTTATTTAAGTGTAATGAATCTCTGGGAAGATGATTGGTTATATATGGTATTTTATACTTTTTTATTATTTCTTCTATAGTTATTATTATGTTTTGGAATTTCATAATATTTATTTTCTACTATTATGCCTATGATTTTTAATAGTTTATTATCTGCACTATAATAGGAATTTATAATTATCATATATTTATAAGTACATATACACCGAATAACTGATTTCTTATAATTTCATTTGCTAATATAACATTTGTATTCAATTTGTAATTTTCATTCAAAATTATCAACTTGTATGTTTTTTTCTGAATTACATTTAATTTTTCTAAGTGAATGCCAGTTGTTGAGCCACATAATGTCAATCCATAACGAATAACGTGTTCTGCTAAGGTTTTTATATTAATTGGTAAAATATCCTGTTTCCTGTACAATGTCAATATAATAGGTCTTTCAAATTCGATGACGAGGAACCCACTTTGAGACTAATAATGGCTGGAGACGGCTTGAATGGGTAATGAAG